GGGAGGGAGGGAGGGAGGGAGGGGTAAGAGAAGGAAGGGAGACGTGGGTGAAGGAAGGAAGGAAGGAAGGAAGGAAGAAGAAAGAGAGGAAGGAAGGAAGGAGAGAGGAGGGTAGGGAAAGGAAGGAAGGAAGGAAGGAAGGAGGAAAGGAAGGAAGGAAGGAAGGAAAGAAGCAAGAGATGGATGGGAGGGTAGGGGAAGGAAAGGAGAAAAAGGAAGGAAGGAAGGAGGGGAGGAATAGGAGAAGGAAGGGAAGGAAGGAGAAGAAAGAGAGGGAGGGAGGGAGGGCAGCAAAGGATAATATTTGTGCAAAGTTGAAACTGCATTTTAATATCTCTGTTCAATCTTTGCCTCACCTTTGGCATGCTGATAACCAAATGTCCAGTAGTCTGAGATCTTTCAGCAATGCTGCTATCTGGCTTTACTTCTTCAGGTAGCACAAGTTGAAATGCCTTTAAAAAAAACAACACACCAACAAATATTAGGTAGCTCAGACCGGAAGCACAACCACGAATGCTAACTCTTGTCATAAGGTTGCATTAATAGACTCTTGCAAGTTTGAAAGTACCCCTCCCATTTTTTGATTTTTACTCTCCTGAAAATTAAGAGAGGGCTTCCTTCTGAGACGCTTTGTCCATCCCCCCCCTCCTCCTTTGGACTTGAGTTTTCATTCATCAGACCATTGTCCAGGCTTCAGCTCTTCTTCCTCTCTCCCAAGGTCAGTCCCGCACACCATTGCAACAAACTGTGCTATTTGATGCAGAAATAATCCAAACACTTTAGCTTGCTAAGCTTAATTTGGAGGGGTTATGACACGGGTAGGCAACCTTGGCTCTTTTATGACTGGTGGACTTCAACTCCCAGAATTCCCGAGCCAGCCTGGCTCAGCTTGGAAACCTCTCCCTGTCCCCTCAGCATGGCTGGCTCAGGAATTCTGGGAGTTGAAGTCCACGAGTCATAAAAGAGCCAAGGTTGCCTACCCCTGGGTTATGATGATGCAACATATCAAGGCAAGGTGGATGGACTCAGTTACAGCAGCAACCGGTTTTTGTTGTTGTTCGGTCAGTAAACCGTGTCCAGCTCTTCGCAACTCCATGGATCACAGCACGTCAGGCCCTCCTGTCCTCCATTGCCTCTTGGAGTCTGCCCAAATTCACGTTCATTACATCAATGACGCTATCTAACCATCTCCTCCTCTGCCGTTCTCTTCTCCTTTTGCCTTCAATCTTTCCCAACAATCAGGATCTTCTCCAATGAATCTTTTCTTCTCATTTGGTGGCCAAAGTATTTGAGCTTCAGCTTCAGTCTCTGTCCTTCCAAAGAGCAGCCAGGGTTGACTTCCTTTAGGGTTGATGGACTGGATCTCCTTTCAGTCCAAGGGACTTCCTCCAGGGTCTTCTTCTCCAACACCACCATTCGAAAGCATCCATTCTTCAGCACTCAGCCTTCCTTATGGCCAATTCTGACAGCCATATAAGCTACTCACAGCTACTGGGGAAACCGTAGCATCATTGGAAGATCTGACGGTCCAGACTGAGGCAGAGTATTTATAGAGATGATCTATCGGAGGCGTTGCTAACATTCCATACTAACTTAATGATGTGTATCAATCAATCAATCAATCAACAAAGGAATTAAAAAAAGGTCTGTGATCTAGCTAAATAATTAATAAGATGAATAACATGATTTTAATCCCAGAGGATTTATGGAATTGTTGCTCTCGGATGACGTATGTTAATGCTATTTTAATCAGGCGATTTGCACCTTAAAGAATTTTAATTTACACCCTAATTAGAATATCTGTGTGCATGTGGGGAAGAGAAAAGAGATGCAGATACATTAGGAAAATCAGACAGACCTGCAACCACACTGATTACGGTAGTCTTTCTCCTGTATTGTCACTGAAAAGTGTGATTATTCTATTCTAAATGTTACAGTGTGATGCTTAAAACGTTAGGTTACAATGAGAATAATTATGTTAGTCCATCTTAGTTGAAAAAATATATGATATGGACATGTCTATAAAATCACCAGGAGGAGAAGAAACTTCACTTTTCATTTTACATAGCTATTATTTTGTTCTATCTATCTATCTATCTATCTATCTATCTATCTATCTATCTATCTATCTATCTATCATCTATCTATCTATCTATCTATCTATCTATCTATCTATCTATCTATCTATCTATCTATCTATCTATCTTAAATAGTTGCCCATCTCTCCAAAGGTGACTCTGGGTGATGCATAATGAGTAAAACCGCAGATATAGAAAACATATACAAATCATGTTAATAGTAAATATTATAAAACAGAGATAGGCCTTAGGCGAAGGGGGAATAATAATAGCCAACTCAGCAATGGAGCTATCTAAGCAAGGCTTCAGTTCCTTGAGAGCCTCAGGCCCATTAACCTAACAAGGTCTTGAGGGCCTTCTGGCTGGCTGGGGAATTCTGGGAGTTGAAGTTCACAGGTCTTAAAGTTGCCAGGGTTGGGGACCCCTGAATTAGGATATTTAATAATAACATACTACTAGGCCAGGGGTAGGCAACCTTGGCTCTTTTATGACTCATGGACTTCAACTCCCAGAATTCCTGAGCCAGCCATGCTGAGGGGACAGGGAGAGGTTTCCAAGCTGAGCCATGCTGGATCAGGAATTCTGGGAGTTGAAGTCCACGAGTCATAAAAGAGTCAAGGCTGCCTACCCCTGCCCTATACCTTTCCAGCCAAGTGGCTGTCCAGTCTCTATTTAAAAGCCTCCAGTGATAGAGACTTTTATTCATATGTTTTAGCCTTCAGTCCCCTAATCATCTTCGTTGCTCTTCTCTGCACTCTTTCTAAAAGAGTCTCAATATCTTTTTTATATCACGGGGACCAAAACTGGATGCAGTATTCCAGATGTGGTCTTACTAAGGTTTATAAAGCAGTATTAATACTTCGTATAGTCAAGGCCATGGTCTTCCCAGTTGCAATGTATGGCTGTGAAAGTTGGACCATAAGAAAGGCTGAGCGCCAAAGAATGGAGGCCTTTGAACTATGGTGCTGGAGAAGACTCCTGCGAGTCCCCTGGACTGCAAGGCCATCAAACCGGTCAGTCCTAGAGGAGATCAACCCCGACTGCTCTTTAGAAGGCCAGATCCTGAAGTTGAAACTCCAATACTTTGGCTACCTAATGAGAAGGAAGGACTCACTGGAGAAGAGCCTAATGCTGGGAAAGATGGAGGGCAATAGAAGAAGGGGACGACAGAGAATGAGGTGGCTGGATGGAGTCACTGAAGCAGTAGGCGTGAACTTAAATGGACTCCAGAAGATGGTAGAGGACAAGAAGGCCTGGAGGAACGTTGTCCATGGGGTCACGATGGGTCGGACACGACTTCACAACTAACAACAACAACAACAACAACAAATTAATACTTCAAGTGATCTTGATTCTACCCCTCTTGTAATGCAGCCTAGGACTGTGTTGGCGTGATCATCTCGCTGCCTCTTCAATGTCTTTCTTACAATCAAGCAAGATCAGAACGACAGCGCTGGCCTCCTTATGGGAAGCCAACATCATAAAGACAAAACAAATCCAAATGAAATAGGCTTTGGAAAAGGAAAAAAAAAAGACTCAAAGCAATAATGACAAATAATACGAACCTTTCCTTTGACCGTTACCCGGACATAAGTAGGCTGCACATCAACATTAAGGAAGGAGATGTCCAAATGTCTGAAAGAGAAGAAGGGAGGAGATCGTTTAGCTTAGCATCTCTCTGTTCCCCGAGGTCCCATCAAAAGCAGAGTGATGGACACGGACATAGTTCAAAAGATTTGTGTGCTACCTGCATCCAATACCACCTTTTATTTAATGCAAAATTATTATTATTTTCTTTTTTCTTCTTCAGGCTGTGAACGGAAAGCCAAATCAAAATCAACAGCCTCCCTAAACAATCTCAGAAAAAGAGCCCATTAAAACAAAACCTTCTGACCTGTAAACAGCAAGATCCAAAATGAACCGGTTTTTTTCATCGTCTTCTTCCAAGGAGAAAAGAAGCCTAGCAATAAATAGCAGCAAAATCTGGGCGTTAGAGACTGGACTGGATGAAGGGCAGAGTCAAAACTTCAACTGATTGTGGTCTTGTATTCAAGAGGGGACAATATAGCGGTTAGCAAGATACACACCCTTCCCCAAGTAGGTTTGCAAAATCTAAAAACCTGATCATGTTAAAAGTCTGGGGCTGTTTTAAAGTTGAAACATGATGGGATAAATGACATAAGGTCCATGTCATTCAAAGCTACACATTTGTGCTGAAAGAGAGACATCTACTGGCTAAAAAAAAACCACAACTAATTAAGTTAACATTAAATTAAAAACTAATTATTATCCATGCATAGTATCATTCTCTCTCCCTTTCTATGTCTCTCTGTGTGTGTTCGTTTCCAGACAAAAGCTGTGTTGTCTTACATCACCAACTACAAGGGAGAAAGTTTAAGAGTTCCTATTTAAAAAAAACCCGCAACGATCCATTTCAATTTTCAGAATTTACCTTATTCCTTTAAGTATCTAAGAAAAACCACTTCAGGCATAACAAATAAATACATTTTTTTTCCTCACACCCATTTTCCCTCACTTTTCCACTTATTTGATTGGTGGGTTTCCCCGTTGCTGCTCTGGTGTTTTAAAATGTATTTATCTCTTTATTTCTAATTCGGGAGAAGCAACTGTTTCAAATTCATGATAGCCTTGCCGCTCCTGTTTCCCTTCTGAAAGCCTCGGAAGCTACCACATGAAATCAGGGTTTGGTGCTTCACACCAAAATATGTCCTCGGTACAAATCCATTCACCGTTTCTATCCATTAAAAATGTCAGTCTCACACTGCCAGTGACATTTTCACAAGTATCACTAGGAGCCCCTGGAGATACAGGAGGCTGACTTGAGGCCTCCCTCCCAAACGGTGCTTTGTTGTTGTTAGTTGTGAACTCGTGTCCGACCCATTGCGACCCCATGGACCACGTTCCTCCAGGCCTTCCTGTCCTCTACCATCTTCTGGAGTCCCTTTAAGCTCACACCTACTGCTTCAGTGACTCCATCCAGCCACCTCATTCTCTGTCGTCCCCTTCTTCTCTTGCCCTCCATCTTTCCCAGCATTAGGCTCTTCTCCAGTGAGTCCTTCCTTCTCATTAGGTGGCCAAAGTATTTGAGTTTCAACTTCAGGATCTGGCCTTCTAAAGAGCAGTCGGGTTTGATCTCCTCTAGGACTGACCGGTTTGATCACCTTGCAGTCCAGGGGACTCGCAGGAGTCTTCTCCAGCACCGTAGTTCAAAGGCCTCAATTCTTTGGTGCTCAGACTTTCCCCTGTATTAGCAAAAGACAACTCTATTGACAATTCACATTACTGGAGCTCCACAGAGCTCCCTCAGCCGTGTTTTCAGTTGTCACAAGTGTAATTCTCATCCGTCAACATAAAGTTTTGAGCCATTATAGACTCGCTGTCTTCCCCAGCTCTATTTTGTGCAACTGTCACTGTATTGTTTTTCTCCAGCACGGTGTAGAGCTGTTGATAAAATGCTCGGTTTCCTGAGATATCCTGCAGATAAGACAGCCATGCCTCTTTCCTGTCGCTCTTCGTCGTTCCCACGTTGAGAAGTTGTCATCGTTTCCTTTGTCAGACTGAAGTGGCATTGAAGTTGACGCTGTATTTTAACAACTTGGATTCAAAAGGCAACCTGCAATTCCAGGTGCACGTGGTTGTACACGTGACACTCGCTGGAAAGGCTTTACTGTATCTTTTTTTCCTTCTTTTGTAATAGCTTCCCTTTGCAGCTGTCACATAACCACAGGAAAAAGCAATATCTGCTTTAAGGCACTCCTGACTGACTCCATGTGTGCATCCATCAGGTTAATCTGAGGCACCGTCTTGCTGCAATGGGATCGGCCCGCCCCACTCACGCTGGCAGAAGAGACCTCTTCTGGACCCTGTTGGTCAAAGTATTTCAGCTAGTGGGATCAAGGAGAAGAGCCTTCTCTGCTGTGGCCCCTGCTCTCTGGAATAGTCTCCTTCTGGGCAAAATCTTTCTACAAAGACATTTTGCTTGATTTGCCTCTTATATCTACAATTGCAGGACTATGGAAAGACTCTTTGATTCAACGGAACATATTGACTGGGAAAGATGTTTGGCAAAACATCTTTTGCCAAATTGGAATTGGGTATGTCTTGTTTAATGAAGAGAAGGACGAGGGGGACATGATAGCAGTCTTCCAATATCTCAGGGGCTGCCACAAAGAAGAGGGAGTCAAGCTATTCTCCAAAGCGCCTAAAGGCAGGACAAGAAGCAACGGATGGAAACTAACCAAGGAGAGAAGCAACCTAGAACTAAGGAGAAACTTCCTGACTGTTACAACAATTAACCAGTGGAACAACCTGCCTCCAGAAGCGGTGAACACGCCAACACTGGAAGTTTTTAAGAAAAGACTGGACAGCCATTTGTCCAAAATGGTATAGGGTTTCCTGCCTGAGCAGGGGGTTGGACTAGATGACCTCCAAGGTCCCTTCCAACTTTATTATTATTATTAAGTTCAAAAGAAGAGGGCTAAAGTGAGAATTGAGAAATTAAATGATGGGATGTATCAGAGGGAATATTTAAAGATTAAACATCTGTTTGAATATGGTTGAAAAAAATAGGAAGGGCATCCGGCCAGTAAATGCTCAGCTCCATCCCATCTCCCCCAACCATCCAGTTTTGTAAAAAAGATGTTGAGACTCTAGAAAGAGTACAGAGAAGAGCAACAAAGATGATTAGGGGACTGGAGGCTAAAACATATAAGGAACGGTTGCTAGAATTGGGTATGTCTAGTTTAATGAAGAGAAGGACGAGGGGGGGACAGGATAGCAGTGTTCCAGTATCTCAGGGGCTGCCACAAAGAAGAGGGAGTCAAGCTATTCTCCAAGGCGCCTGAAGGCAGGACAAGAAGCAACGGGTGGAAACTGATCAAGGAGAGAAGCAACCTAGAACTAAGGAGAAACTTCCTGACAGAACAATTATCCAGTGGAACAACCTGCCTCCAGAAGCTGTGAATGCTCCAACACTGGAAGTTTTTAAGAAGAGACTGGACAGCCATTTGTCTGAAATGGTATAGGGTTTCCTGCCTGAGTAGGGAGTTGGACTAGATGACCTCCAAGGTCCCTTCCAACTTCTTTATTATTATTATTATTATTATTATTATTATTATTATTATTATTATTATTATTATTATTATTATTATTATTATTATTATTAACTCTACCCTGAATTAAGGGATTATTGGGCTCCAAAAAGGGAGATGTCTATGGTTTTATACTATTTTTCAGCCGTACAGTCACTTGATCCAGTGAAATAGGCGGCATATAAATTTAATAAGTAAGTAAGTAAATAAATACATCTACATGTGACGTGAATCACCTTTTGCCCTTTGAATCCAGGTTACTTCACAGGCCTTTTAGTTTTAATAATTAATTTGGGCTATGTGAAAGACAGAATGGAGGGGGAGCAACATTTATCTAATTTGAATTTTAAGGAAAAGAGAAGCCTATGTGTGGAGTTCAGTAGCACCCTGGGCTGAATGCCACAGTCATGGGAGCGGTCAAGGGCATCTCATCAAGGTGGTCCGGGATACGTCCTCGAAGTCCTGCCTCTTGAACCTGTGTGAAAATTTGTCACACGTATACAAAAGGGTTAAGGCTTTGATCATACATCTTGACATTTGGGGCTTCTGTTCCCATAGGGCAGATTCTGAAACAAAGGGCTGATATCTAAACCTGGGGAGGAAATTGGAAAACAATGTTATATTTTCCTCCTCATTTAGCCTACGAAAGGAAGTGGGTCGCCTGCCCTTTATTTAACCAATCTGGGCGCTCAAAACGGTTCATGAATTGTTTATCTCTTTTTACATACTTGGCTTCATTTACGTTTAAAACTCTTCCTTCTGGGGTGATCAAAGTCCTCAGAGGTTTCTCTTCGTTTCCTTGTTCTCTGCTAAAAAAATAAAAAAAATGGGTTTTTGTTTTTTGTTTTGATATGTTTTGTGCTTTTATTCCTTCCACAAGGTAGCAAAAACAGCAGCAGAAAGATGACAAAGCCTTCATTTTAAGACACACAAAACATCCCATTTGCTTTAATGTATTTGACAGAATGCTTATTTTAGGAAAGCAAATCAAGTATAATCAACACAAGGGTAATGGCCCCTTCAGCTTATTTGATCCTTGGGTACCAAATTCCTATCTAATTCCTATCTGTTTTCTTGTCTCTTGCAACACCTCTCTAATGTTGGTTACTCTAGAGGTGTAGTTTTAATTTATTTCTAAAACAATCAGCCTGTTTGAGATCTTGTTTTTACAATATTCAGGTTATTACGATAAACACAATAAAATATAATCAGCGAACCTTGCTCTACGGGTGTTATTGTTATGATTGGTCCCCTGATTGATCCTAATGTTACTGGACCATTGGAACACAATGGCCTCCACAAATGGTAGGTTTCTGCTTTGCGGGATCCATTTTAATCTTTAATGAAATCCAATATTGATGCAACGGAAGTCTGGCCCTTAACAGAACTGAAGCTAAACTGAGGCTTAGTAGGTTATATGAATCTAGTCAACTGCACCAAACCACAATTGAACAACTTAGTACAAGCTACAAATTCAGTCATTAATGGCAGCCCTTTCAGGGAAGATTTTAGATAAGACTTCGGGCGATGTGGCTTTGCAGCAATTCACAATCACCCTGCCTCTCATGAAATAAACATTAAAATAAGACATTGGATTAGATCTGTCTGTCTGTCTATGTCATATGTAAAAATTATGCATACTTATTTTCTCTTTCTTTCCTTTTCTCTTCAAGATACTGGTGAATTTCTAACCTAGCCTCTGGGGTATGAGGCACAGGTTCATCCCAAAAGTCACGGTCTTCATCGTCGTCCTCAAGTATTAATTTACGAAATTCATCTCCTTCTTCAGAATTTCGGTGGTTCTCTGCTCCTTCTACAGAGTAGTAGCTGGAATGTAATGTGCAAAAGAAAATCTTGGGACACTTATTGATCCACTTCAAATCCTGCTCTCCAGCCACATGTCTAGACCTGTTGGAGAGCAGCCCGGCCTTCTGACCCTACCCTACCGGCTCCATTTGAACGAATGAGGAATTAAGTCTGCTGCAAAGCAAAGCATCAATTTCCAGCATGACTTCTGTTTGCAAGAATGACTCTGGACTCTACAAATAATGTTCTAATAAAACAAAACAAAGCATCTGGGTGCTTTGTTTGGAAGTGGGCCTCCTTGCCCAGAAACTTGCAGCAGGAAAGCAAAGTTGAGCTACAGTGATGATGGTGGCTAGGTTCTAGCCATGACACTGTAGCCATGAGCTACAGTGATGGTGGTGGCTAAGTTCTAGCCATGACACCGTAGCCATAACACTGTAGCCACAGTGATGGTAGTGGCTATGTTCTAGCCATGACACCGTAGCCATGATACTGTAGCCATGAGCTACAGTGATGGTGGTGGCCAAGTTCTAGCCATGACACCGTAGCCATGAGCTACAGTGATGGTGGTGGCTACGTTCTAGCCATGACACTGTAGCCATGAGCTACAGTGATGGTGGTGGCTAAGTTCTAGCCATGACACTGTAGCCATGAGCTACAGTGATGGTGGTGGCTAAGTTCTAGCCATGACATCGTAGCCATGAGCTACAGTGATGGTGGTGGCTAGGTTCTAGCCGTGAAACTGTAGCCATGAGCTACAGTGATGGTGATGGCTAAGTTCTAGCCATGACACTGTACCCATGAGCTACAGTGATGGTGGGGCTAGGTTCTAGCCATGACACTGTACCCATGAGCTACAGTGATGGTGATGGCTAAGTTCTAGCCATGACACTGTAGCCATGAGCTACAGTGATGGTGGTGGCTAGGTTCTAGCCATGACACTGTACCCATGAGTTACAGTGATGGTGATGGCTAAGTTCTAGCCATGACAGAAGAGAACATTTTCTTTCATCCAACCTGAGCCATTTTTCTGATGGCTTAGACATCTCCATATCAGCTGTCCGGAGAGAGGGCTTGCAGCCGGCTTCCAAAATTCCAAATTATCTCCCAAGTACAAAACGTAAGGCCATATACAAGCAAGAGCTTAATATAATACAGGTAGTCCTCAACTTACAACAGTTCATTTAGTGACCGTTCGAAGTTACAACATCCTTGAAAAGAGTGACTTATGACCGTTTTTCGCACTTACGAACCCCAGGGTCACGTGACCCAAATTTGGATGCTTGGCAAGTGGTTCGTATTTATGACAGATTGCAGTGTCCCGGGGGTGTGTGTCATGTGATCACTTTTTACAACCTTCTGACAAGCAAAGTCAATGGGGAAGCCAGATTCATTTCGCAACTCTGTGACTAACTCAACCACCATAGTGATTCACTTAACACAGTGTTTCTCAACCTTGACAATTTTAAGGCATGTGGACTTCAACTCCCAGAATTCCACAGCCAGCATTGCTGGCTGTGGAATTCTGGGAGTTGAAGTCCACATGCCTTAAAATTGTCAAGGTTGAGAAACACTGTGGCAAGAAAAGCCATAAAGTGGGGCAAACCTCACTTAACAACTGTCTTACTAAGCAACAGAAATGTTGGGCTCACAGACTACCTGTATCGGAAATTAAATTTCATACTTAATTTAGTGTTCGTGATAGGTGATTTATTCTCCGCTGCTAGGTATTTTAATGTTGCTATTTATTTTTAACTTTGTTCTCCGCTCAGAATCGCTTGGTGACATGAGTGGCCAGACAAATTAAATAACTGAAAATTGAATAAATAAGATAAATATATTCCTACACTCAAGTTTTTTTCGGCCCTAGATGAACTACAGAGGCACCTACGTGGGCGTCTTGATATCTGCGTGTGATTGTTTATCAAACCCCGGATGCTGTCCTTTCTTCTTCTTCTCCTTCCTTTCCTTCTGCTTTTCTAGCATCCGTCTTCCTGCCTCTTTTTTTTCTTCTTCTCTTTTCAGGAGATAGTTTTGTTCCTGCTTGTGGATTTTTCTTTCTAGCGCAGGGTAGTTCTGTAAAGCCTGGATCCTTTCTGACCGTGTTATCTCTTTGCAATCCAAAAACTTTAAAAAAAAAGGAGGGGGGGAGAGAGAAAATGATATTTCAATACACTGCACAATAAATCTATCCCTCTTTGTTTGTTATGAAATTGTTCTTTTTATTGCATTTGAATGAATAAATTGATTAAACTCCAATTTCCTCTAGCTCAGTGGTTCTCAACCTTTTTAATGCCGCGACCCCCAACCAGTCGTAAGTCGAGGACTAAACCGGTCGTAAGTCGAGGACTAAACCAGTCATAAGTCGAGGACTAAACCGGTCGTAAGTCGAGGACTACCCAACCGGTCATAAGTCGAGGACTTTCCCTGCCCGGGAGCGCCGCGCATGCGTGGTTCCGCCCCCTGCACCGGCCGAGGCGTAGCTGGCAAGCGGCAGAGACCACCAGCTGACCACCAGCCGACCACCAGCTGGCCCAGCCCAAGGGAGGTAAGGCACCCACCGGAAAAGGGGGAAAAAATGGCGGACAAAAAAATGGCGGACAGCCTTGCTTGGCGACCCCCATGAAATGGTCGATCGACCCCAAATGGGGTCCCGACCCACAGGTTGAGAACCACTGCTCTAGCTCATATGATCATAAAATCACATGCGCTGCAAGGATGGAGAACTTTTTTAAAAGAAATATTATGTGATAAAAAGAGCCAGGACAATGTTCACTGATGCTTTGCATGGAAGCGCGAATGGTATTATTTTCACACAATTTTAGGAATAAATTGTCAAGCAAATGTACCCCCCCCAATGATTCTTTCCTTAGTTACACATTCTTAAAAAGGTGTAGGAAAAATAAAACCTGAGACATGTTATTCTCAGGAGACACCCAAACCTCTTTTTAGTGGAATTCATTAGGTAGGGCCTACCAAAATTTAAGAGTGAATCATCAAATCTTGAGGCACGATTTCCCATTCCCAGAAAAAGACAAAATTCCTAAAACAGTGTGGAAATATTGTTCCTGCCTACTTGCATGACATAACCGAGTACAGATAGTCTTTGACTTACAACCTTTTGTTTTAGTGATCGCTCCAAGTTACAACAGGGCTGAAAAAAGTGACATATGACCGTTTTTCACACTTACATCCCTTTGGCCACGTGATCAAAATTCAGCCGCTTGGCAACTGGCTCATACTATAACCGTTGCCGTGTCCCGGGGTCATATGATCCCCTTTTGCGATCTTCTGACAAGCAAAGTCAATGGGGAAGCCAGATTCACTTAATGACGTGTTACTAACTTCACAACTGCACCAATTCGGTGAATAATTGTGGCAAGGAAGGTCGTAAAATGGAGCCAAACTCACTTAACAAAGGTCTCGCTTAGCAACAGAATTTTTTTTATAAAGTTTTTTTTAACAGAATTCAATAGTAATCATTCAACGAAATGTGTTGTCTGAGTATCTTATTCACTAATATAAATTAAATTCCTAATCCCCAAATCTTTTCTCTAACCATTGATAAAATAGGTCCCACGTTTGAAAATGTTCCATTTCTTCTTTTTCTTTCAACCTTAAAGTAAGTCTGTCCATTTCCACACAGTCCGGTATTTTTTTAATTATTTCTTCTTCTGGTAGTGTTTCTTCGTTCTTCCAGTGTTGTGCAAATATAATTCTTGCTGCTATTATGACATGTAAAATCAAGTATGCTTAGCAACAGAAATCTGCGGCTCAGTTGTGCTCGTAAGTCGAGGACTACCTGTATAATCCTACTGATGCTTAATCCTTTAATTCAAAAGTTGCTCAACCTGTATGAGCTTCTGCATATGCCAGCTGCCTCTCTCATTAGGAATGTTTGTGGCTGGTAAGATCTGCAGGAGAGGAGCAATGGGTTGGTAGGCACGACAAGGTTTTCTCCTGCCTCACTCTACCGTGGCAGTTTTAAGACTTAATAATAATAATAATAATAATAATAATAATAATAATAATAATAATAATAATAATAATAGTAATAAAAAACTGTAATACCATCAAACATCGACATCTGCCTATCCCAGGTCCTTGGTAAGGACTCGATAGGTAGATAAAAATGCCAAATCCAGTCTGAACATCTGGCTGACTGTGCAATGATTAATAATAATAATAATAATAATAATAATAATAATAATAATAATAATAATAATAATAATAATAATAATAATAATAATAATAATAATAATAAAGTTGGAAGGGACCTTGGAGGTCATCCAATCCAGCCCCCTGATCAGGCAGGAAACCCTATACCATTTCAGACAAATGGTTGTCCAGTCTCTTCTTAAAAACTTCCAGTGTTGGAGCATTCACCGCTTCTGGAGGCAGGTTGTTCCACTGGTTAATTTGTTCTAACTGTCAGGAAGTTTCTCTTTAATTCTAGGTTGCTTCTCTCCTTGGTTAGTTTCCATCTGTTGCTTCTTGTCCAGCTTTCAGGTGCTTTGGAGAATAGCTTGACTCCCTCTTCTTTGGGGCAGCCCCTGAGATATTGAAATACTGCTATCACGTCACCTCTAGTCCTTCTTTTCATGAAACTAGACATGCCCAATTCCAGCAACTGCTCCTTATATGTTTTATCCTCCAGTCCCCTCATCATCTTTGTTGCTCTTCTCTGTACTCTTTCTACAGTCTTGTGGACTTCAACTCCCAGAATTCCCCAGACTATACAAGCCTATACTTATCACAACAGCAATAAATCCTTTTAAGTAAAATGTAATAAATTCCCTAATAAAGGACCATAGCATAGTATGTTTTTTTTTCTTATTTGATGTTACCTTCCTGATTTTACTACTTTTTATAAAGTAATTATCTATACGTTTGCATAAGAATGTTTAATGTGTCCCTTTGACAGAAAGGGGGGCTACTATTGTTTAAATTTATTTATTTAAATTAAATTTTATTTTAATATAACCTATTAAATATAATAAGACATACTCTGAGTTGTTGTAGGGTAGCAACCACAAACTGCCTATAGCCTTCAAAATCAGTGCATGGATTTCCTACAAGGTAGAGCTCTTCAAGATGTATATTATTTTTCAGTATTTTGACACTAGACAATTCTCCAATGAAATTGGCCGTCAGGTCCAGCTTCTGCAGATCTTCACAACCTGTTTGAAAATTAAAAAGGACTTTTAAAACAGAATGATCAGCTCCACATTTCATTAACAAACACATCTATCTCAGAGTCATCATACTGACCCTCTTCCTCGTTCATCCTTTTCATGAAAGTAAATATCAGATGCTAAAAGGATGAGCAGCATTAATTTAAAAATGATTAAAATTTGTTTCCCAAGTCGTAAAACATTTTCTCATAAAGCAGGAGATGCAAACGTTTAAACATTTATAAGTACAAAAACAGAAAAGTTGATTTACAACTTTCAGATTTCAAGACAATAACCATCAATAGTATTTGTATTATTATTGCACTGCAGCATATTATATTTTATTATGTAATGTTATATATTACTTTTATCATCCTCCTTTATACTTCGTGACCTGCCTAGAATCCTTTGGGATTTGGGTAGTCAGTGCATTTTATAAATTAATAATATGTGATCAGAAACAACAGCTTCTTCCCATCCTGTTTTTTTATGCCTATGAAATCAAAAATATTTGTTTCTGATTTTAAACACACTTGGAATACTGCATCCAGTTTTGGTCACCACGATGTAAAAAGGATGTTGAGACTCTAGAAAGAGTACACAGAAGAGCAACAAAGATGATTAGGGGACTGGAGCCTAAAACATATGAGGAATGGTTGCTGGAATTGGGTATGTCTAGTTTAATGAAGAGAAGGATGAGGGGGGACATGATAGCAGTCTTCCAATATCTCAGGGGCTGCCCCAAAGAAGAGGGAGTCAAGCTATTCTCCAAAGCGCCTGAAGGCAGGACAAGAAGCAACGGATGGAAACTAATCAAGGAGAGAAGCAACCTAGAACTAAGGAGAAACCTCCTGACAGTTAGAACAATTAACCAGTGGAACAACCTGCCTCCAGAAGCGGTGAATGCTCCAACACTGGAAGTTTTTAAGAAGAGACTGGACAGCCATTTGTCCGAAATGGTATAGGGTTTCCTGCCTGAGCAGAGGGTTGGGTTTGATGACCTCCAAGGTCCCTTTCAACTTTATTATTATTATTATGCAGGATGTACACATTCAGAATATGCTGGTTAACTAGATGTGCACGGAATCATTGGGAGTCACACAACATATAAATTAAATATAGTATTATTGTTTGCTCAGTCAGCCAGATATTTAAACTGGATTTGGCATTTTTACCCAGCTATTGAGTCCTTCCCAAGGACCTGGGATATATTAATACTTTTATTACTGCTCAGGGACTGCAAGTGGCCTCTTAAAAGTTTGGGTTCACCCTCAAAATCATCATAAAACTGTATACAGGGTTACCTTGGTACTCATTGTTAATTGGTTCTGGGAGTTGCAATGAATACCAAACAATTTTTTCCCATAAGGAATAATGTAGCAAGTCACAAGGCAGCTGACACCGACAATTCTAGACTGTGTGTCGAGTACCAAGCAAACAAGTACCAGGATAAAATGTTTGTGTCAAAATGCATTGAGTGCCAAATTCAATGAGCTTCAAAGCAGTTGAGTAAGAAGGCACCAGTGTACGTGGATGTGACAGATAGAAAAATAAAGACACCACAATTGAGATGTGCTGCCTTTTTGCAGAAACAGATGCACATGTATTAAAAAGCATTGCCCAAAGAAATATACTTTGAAGGGTAAGTATCTTACCTTCCAAATTTTCAAATTTTTCAATGTTGTTTAAAGCCAGATTTAAATACTCAAGCTTTTTCAGTCGGCTCACGTTTTCTGAAACGCAATGATTACAGGTGTCAGTTTTGCAAGGATAGACTTAGCATTCCCAATGGTCCAGCAGGTAATCCTTTTTTTAAAAAAAAAGCATCCGAACAGAAATTGAAAACAGGAAAAAAGACGTCTTAAAATACCAAAAAAGATTACTTGAGCAAAATGATGAATTAATGGTGAATTAAATACACAGAATGTTTATGTTAGAAGAAGAAAAGCCTGGCGTGAATTAAGGATCGTCTTATTCAAATGACATCTTACCCCACTGCAGGGATTTGAAAGATTAAGTTAAACGACCCAGTTCTTGCTTTTGAAAAAATCTAAAGGATTGGTGACTGGATTAATTTGAATAAAACAATGCTGTAACAGCATTGAAGGCAAGACAAGAGAACAACCAGCAGCATGGTGGACGGACTCAATTACAGCAACGATAGATACACGTAGTGCCCAACTTACAGCCCTTCACAGTCCCCGTTTGAAGTTACAATGGCACTGAAAAAAGTGACCAGCTTTCACGTTTATGACCATTGAATGGTCTCTTGATCAAAATTCAGATACTTGGCAACAGATTCCTATGATGCTTGTAGTGTCCCGGGATCGTGTGATCCCCTTTTGGGACCTTCTGACAAGCAAAGTCAATGGGGAAGCCAGATTCACTTAACAACCGTGTTACTAATTTAACAACTGCAGTGGTTCACTCAACAACTGTGGAAAGAAAGGTCGTAAAATGGGGCAAAACTCACTTAGCAACAGAAAATTTAGGCTCAACTGTCATTGTAAGTCAAGGACCACCTGTATAGTCCTAGAAGAGTTGGGGAGATGGATTGAAGACAGATCACCCTGGAGAAAGTTATCTATGTGGAGACTAAACCCACACCAGCCTAAGGGCATGTCAGTCAATGTGATGAACCAAATCAGTCAATCAATGTGATGAGCCAAAGGTTTTTAAGGGTCATTCAGGACTCTGAGAACTTAGGCTGCTTGCCTGTCATGGTATAAGGCCTCCAGCCTTGAGCAGAGGGTTGGACTAGAAGACCACTGGGGTCCCTTCCAACTCTGATTCTATATTCTATGTCTGTATTATGGAGGCATTAGCAGTAAAGGCTTGGTCTACTTTCCCCATTTTTAAATTATTTCCACCCTTAAGTTATCCTTAAGAAAATCATCCTTTTCATTGCCAAATCACTACAGCAATTCCCTTCGCAGACAAATGTACCGACCAATTTTGGAGATCAAGTTGTTTTGGAGATAGAGAATTTTTAAATTTCGGCACCATTTGTCGAGATGTTCAATTTTCTCTATGTTCTGTTGATGCAGGGAAACTTCTTCCAAAGAGAACAGTTCACAGTTGTTATGCTCTGCCCGTTGTCTAATCAATTCTTCTGTGACTGAAAGGCATATCATAGAAAAGAGAATCAGTTTTTTTCTATAGAACAGAAAGGGTGCAAACCGTTCCTTGGAAATAGACTAAATTCATTCATTCATTCATTCATTCATTCATTCAGATATATACAGGAGCTTCATGAAAGCAAATGTAATTTAAAAAAAACCAGAACTATAAGAATGACAAATGTCTTGTAACATATGTCTCAAACAAATTGACTGTGTGTTTTGATTGGTGTTGCCTATTGTGTTCCATCAAATGCATGCTGTTGAGAAATGGATCTTATCAGAGCAAAGATTTTCCTTGGCAAATGAAGAATAAATGACCCAGAGGAATAATCTCACTCACATTTTAAAAAAAACATTAATGAACTTTCAATACTTCATTATTTTACAATGAATACTTTTTATTCAGAGAAAAGTTCAGCCTTCTATTCATCGATAAAAGAAAATGGCAGAAGGAGTGTAGAGCAGCAGTCCCCAAACCTTTTGGCACCAGGAACTGATTTCATGAGAGACAATTTTTACATGGTTGGGGGGGGAGATGGTTTCGGTTTTGCTTGCTTACCCACTGCTCACCTCCAGCTGTGCGGCCCAGTTCCTAATGGGCCATGGTACCAGTCTGTGGCCTGGGAATTGGGGACCCCTGGTTTAGAGAGAAAATCTCCCCCACCCAAAATATATAATGTCCATCCATCCCACTATACCCATAAGTGAATTTTAAGTGACTCAGAATGTGAAGTTTCACCCAGATTCCTCTGTTATCCATGTTTCTTTGAAAGATTATCACTCCCTGAAATCAGTAAGACATATTTTAGAAAACTCCTTCATGGATTACTGCCTTGGAAGAGCAGAGGGCTAGTACTAGTAGCGCCAGAAAGAATGAAGCGACTGGACCAAAGCCGAAAGGACGCTCAGCTGTGGATGCATCTGGTGGTGAAAGGAAAGTCCGATGCTGTAAAGATCTTTTCTCCATAGGAACCTGGAAGGTAAGATCCATGAATCAAGGCAAGCTAGACGTGGTCAAACAAGAGATGACAAGACTCACTGGAGAAGGGCCTAATGTTGGGAAAGATTGAGGGCAATAGAAGAAGGGGACGACAGAGAATGAGGTGGCTGGATGGAGTCACTGAAGCAGTAGACGTGAGCTTAAATGGACTCCAGAAGATGGTGGAGGACAGGAAGGCCTGGAGGAACGTTGTCCATGGGGTCGCGATGGGTCGGACACGACTTCGCAACTAACAACAACAACAACAAATTTTAGAAAACCTGAATTTTCAATATAATTATTCATGTGAAACATATACTATTATCAGATAGTATGTGGAATAAATCCTTCTTGATGATGGTATTAAAAAGATAAAAGAATTTACAGGCAAGAACCCTGAAGAGGAGATATAGACCAATCCTTGGTGGTTGGCTCCTCTCACCCTATCCAGCCCACCTCGCAAGGCTGTGGTTGTTCAAGGGGAAACCATGTAGACTGGCAAGGAGAGGAAACAGGGAGGGGAATTGAATGGAGAGAGAGATTTAAAACTATGCATAACATTATTTATCCAGTTAAACTTTCTAACTTGATTTATGTCATTAAATTCATAATATTTGATACTTAACATACATTTAAGTTATGTTGCATTTAATACAGTTCGTATTTAAGTCAGTTATTTTGTATGTTTTGTTTTTATTTTTTTACCTAATTAAACTTTATAACTTGACTTATATCATTAAATTCATAATATTTGATACTTAACATACATTTAAGTTATGTTGCATTTAGTACAGTTCATATTTAAGTCAGTTATTTTGTACGTTTTGTTTTTATTTTTTTACCTAATTAAACTTTATCACTTGATTTATATTAAATTCCTATTTGTTATTCAACTTATAAATCTAATTTATATTACATTTAATATAAAGTGTTTAGTTAATATTTAAGTGAATTATTTTGAATATTTTATTTTTATTGTACTTTTATATTACGTATTTATATAAATATAAAAGATACTATATATTATACAGTGCATACATATGTATCAATGCGTGCATATTTATATTTCACAAAAATTACATATTATATAAATAAAAGTTATTTATATATTCATATTTATATAATAAATTGCATATTTATATCAAATAAATTAAATTGATAAAATTAAATATAGGCAAATATAGATACACACATACACACACATTTCTATTTACTATTTAGGGGATGGGGCTGATGGGAGTTGTGATCCAACCACTACGCCCTGCAGGTGCCAGGAGTGAGGGAGCCTCGTTCGAAAGACAGATGCTTTGCCTTTCCTGAGCCGGGGGCGCGGCGGACGACAAAGCCCATCGCGGCGTGGCCGATGGGAGTTGTCGTCCGCCCTTTCTGGGCGAGGCCGGCTTGCAAGAGGCGCCTTGGGGGAACTCCGGAAGCCCCGCGTTCCACACGCGGAGCTTCCCCCACGCCACAGCGACCGAGGAGCGGCTACTCACGCCGCACCATGCCCGCCGCCGTCCTCGCCTCCTTCGGCCGCTTCTGCAGGCCGCTTGGAGAGGACGCCGCTTTGCGGTCGCCACGGCAACCAGACCAGGCGTGGCCACGTACGCTGCTAGTCCCGCCCACCTCGGGCGGAGAAAGCGGCCCAAGAGATGAGACAAAGGACCCAATCTAACCACAGTTCCGTTGCTGCAGCGAGCGCCGCTTTCTCTGAGTGGCTGTCCCGACGCGGTGTTCTCTAGCAGGGAAGGATTCCAACTTCCATTATCCCCCCCCGGCATCTGGAGAATGGGTAATGCAGTCTAAAATAAAATAATAAAATAAAATAATAAAATAAAATAAATAAAATAAATAAAATAAAATAATAAAATAATAAAATAAAATAAAATAAAATAATAAAATAAAATAAAATAAAATAAAATAAAATAAAATAAAATAATAAAATAAAATAAAATAAAATAATAAAATAAAATAATAAAATAAAATAATAAAATAAAATAAAATAATAAAATAAAATAAAATAATAAAATAAAATAAAATATGCCAATAGATTGATGCAGATACTACAACATTATATACATGATGACCAAACTGGTTTTATATCTGGGAGATACATGAAGAATAACATCAGGCAAATTGTAAATCTATTGGAATACTTGGACAAGAATAACCAAATACCTTCGGCTTTTATTTTTCTTGATGCGGAAAAGGCCTTTGACAAATTGGAATGGCAATTTTTAAATAAATTATTGGATTATATGAACTTTGGAGATCAATTCAAAACAGCTATAAAGGCGATATATCAAAAACAGACTGCTCAAATAATTATAAATGGAGATCTGACAGAGCCTATAGATATACAAAAAGGTACTAGACAAGGCTGCCCACTCTCTCCTCTATTATTTGTATTATCATTAGAAATTTTACTATCCAGAATCAGAGAATCTACAACGATTAAAGGTTTAAGAATTTCTGCTAAAGAATATAAACTTAAAGCTTTTGCTGATGATTTAGTTTTTACATTGTCTCAACCAAGTGTTGCATCAATATGGCAAGGTGGCTGGATTTAGAACTAATGTTCAAAAGACTAAAATTCTTACAAAGAATATGATGGCCAAAGATAAAAATCAACTTACGCAGATATCAGGATTCGAAGTGGTTAATAAAGTCAAGTATTTGGGAATCTTCTTGTCATCTTCTAACATGAAACTTTATCAGAATAATTATGAAAAATTGTGGAAATCAGTACAAAAAGACTTATTAATGTGGAAAAAACTTCACTTTTCTTTGTTGGGCCGTATTGCGGCCATCAAAATGAATATTCTACCTAAGTTTCTTTTTTTATTTCAGATGATACCTATCTTAAAAAATGAACTTAATCTGAAAGAATGGCAGAGAGACTTGAACCGTTTCATTTGGGAAGGCAAGAAGGCACGGGTTAAATTTAAGATTATTCAAGATGTTAGAGAACGTGGAGGACTTAAAGCACCAAATTTGACACTTTATTATGATTCTTGTGCATTGACATGGATGACGGATTGGATTAATTTATCTAATAAGAGGATATTGCATTTGGAAGGATGGGACTTGTACTTTGGGTGGCATGCTTATCTTTTTATGCAGAAAAAGATTGATAAAACTTTTAGAAACCATATAATAAGGGCTGCATTGTTAAGAGTTTGGCAAAAATACTTCTTTAAGTTTGATGTTAAACTTCCAATTTGGGTGATACCATCACATATTTTTTTGACTATACCAAGATTTGTGGTTATGGAGGCGCCATCCTATAAAGACTTGTTATATTTGAGTGGTAGTGGTGAATGGTGCCTCAAATCAATAGAAGTTTTGAGGCGGAAGTATCCAGACTTTTCCTGGTATGTGTATAGACAAATTCAAGAGAGATGGCGAATTGATAAAAAAACTGCTTTTTTTATGGAAAATGGGAATTTTTTGAAACAAGTAAGGGATGATGCTAAAGGACATATTAGAAGGATATATAATGTTTTATTAGAATTGGACTCAGAAACTGAGCTAGTTAAAGACTGTATGATTAAATGGGCTCAAAATATAGGAGAAATAATATCTATGGATACCTGGGAGTTGATATGGGTGAGAAATGTGAAATTTACGCAGGCACAAAACTTGCGTGAGAATTTTTATAAGATGTTTTATAGATGGCACATGGATCCTGCAACTATGTCTCGTATTTATGAGAACTATGAATCCAAGTGCTGGAGGTGTGGACAACAAGATGCAACTTTCTTTCATATGTGGTGGACTTGTAAGGTTATCAAGGCTTTTTGGATAAAACTATGGTGGAATTTACAACAAGTTTTTAAAAGAAGAATTTTTTTCCTGCCTCAGTTGTTTCTCCTAGGTATCACACATAATATGGATGTAAAAGAAACGAACTTAATGTTGTATTGTGTAACTGCTGCCCGTTTGCTGATAGCTCAAAACTGGAAGAGTAAGATTCTACCTACAATGGAGGACTGGAGATTGAAGGTTTCGCATCTTGCTGAAATGGCTAAAATTTCGGCCTATCTGAAAGACCACTCAAATGAACAATTTTTATCAATATGGAGAAGATGGATTGTCTATATTCAAAATAAGCATAGAATGGTGGAATACAATTTAGGTTTTTAGACAATTTGTTTTTTGTTTTTTTTCTATATATTTCACCTACTTATGTACTGATATTTTGTGGAGTTAGGGATATTAATATTAGTTTACTTGTAGCTGAATAGTATCCTGGGATTAGGTTTGGGAAGTCCGGGTGGGGGGTGGGGGGAGGGGTTTTTATTATTGTGATGTATCTGTGATATTTCTTATGATGAAAATAATAAAAATTTTACAAAAAAAATAAAATAAAATAAAATATAAAATATAAAATAAAATAATAAAATAAAAAATAAAATAAAATAAAATAAAATAAAATAAAATAATAAAATAAAATAAAATATGTTTGGGCGGCAGCCGTTTGGAAAAGCCATATCCTTTGCAGATAATCTTAAAGTGAAGAATTCTTCTCCCCCCCCTCCACCTGTTTTTGGATTTGCGTGGAAAATAACATATAGGGAAGTCGCGTAGATACCGGAATTGTTTAAAAATCTGGGCGGCTAGTGTTTTTTATAGAGATAGGGACGGGTTAGAAGCGGCCCTTTGCATTCAGCAATTATCTAGGCCAGGGGTCTTCAAACTTTGCCCTTTTATAGAGTTTTGGACTTCAACTCCCAGAATTCCTCAGCCAGGCATGCCTGGCTATTTATAAAAAATATTTATAATATTTTATAAAATTATATTTTATAAAATTTTAAAATTATATTTTAAAAAATATTTTATAAAATTATTTATAAAAATAATAAAGGTGAAATAAAAATTAAAAAGCTGGGATAAAGCAACTTTGTCTCTGTGGTTGACTAAGTGCTTTGGGAGTCACTCTTTAAGTTAGATATGTCTCAGATGCCACTGACTGACTGGTGAATTGGCTGCTCCTATCTTTTTAATTTTTTAAAACAGTTATGCCAGTGCATAACTGGCCAATTCACAGAGTTGTTCTGGTTCAAAGAGTCTCACAGTCTACTTGTCAATGTTCCTTCTCCATGTAACCTATGATGGAAGGTTGAGGCTCAGAATCTGCAGAGGTTATTTCGATCAGCTACTAAGTATAAGATTTATACAACTCTTAAAAAGAATCTTGATATTCTAGTGGGAGAATTTGACAGTCTGCTGAGTAGGACTTAGTGGGTGGCCAAAAAGATTTCTGAAGTCCACCAAGAGACCATCACCACAGAGGGAGGCACTGTCTGTGCCTAAATAGGACCCTTTGAGACTTCAAAGCAGCTGAAACAGCACCAACAATTTCTGACCTGATCCAGGAGGATTGCCTGCTGTTGCTCACCTTCCCATCTGCTGACCTGAAGTATTGGTATTTTTTTTTCTACTGGAAGTCAAGACAGCAATGTAGGAGGATCCTACTTTCAGTCTACCTGTCTGTGTTGCTTTTTTAGGTCCAGCTGGGTTTTCTTGAAAGTTCAGGGGAGAAAGCTGAGGTACAAAAATTGTGACACAACAATAGGCCCAACAGGTAAGTAGCATCCTGTTTAGCTTTTGTAAAGGGCTGGGCTGTGTAGTTTCAGCTGTAGATAGAGGCTGATGGGACCCAATTGTCCTTTACAGGATACAGTCGCTTCTCCAATGCAGAAGAACAAGCTAAGCCGGTGACTACAAAGATCTACCAGGTGAGCATGGAAGAATTTCTGGAGCAAAACTGTACAGACCTGCAAAAATGAATCAAGCTCCTACAGCATATGGCACCAATGACATGTGGATGCCATTGCCACCTTCGTTTGCCATCTGTCCTCCTGGGCTGGAGTATTTAACCCAACTTGATTGGTTATTAATCCACCAGAAATATGAAGTTCTGGAACTGATCACCTCTTTTGAAACAGCCAACAAGTACGAAGTGAGAAACAGGCTTGGAGAAATGGTGTATTTTGCCAAAGAAGAAAACAACTTCTGTGTGAGGAATTGCCTGGGGACCTTGCGGCCCTTTACCATGGTGATCTCTAACCACGTGGGACAACAGGTCATCCACCTCGTGCGGCCTTTCCGTTGTGACGGCTGCTGTTGCCCGTGCTGCTTGCAAGAACTGGAAATCCAGGCCCCACCAGGCTTACCCGTTGGCTATCTCCAGCAGCTGTGGCACCCCTTTCTGCCCAAATTTGTAATCCAGAACGAAGCCCGCCGAGATGTCCTGAAAATCATTGGACCTTTCATCACATCCGCCTGCTGTGGCAATGTGGTATTTGAAGTGACGGCACTAGATGAAAAGACCAGCGTGGGAAAGATTTCTAAGCAGTGGGGAGGTGTTCTGCAGGAGCTTTTCACCGACGTGGATTTCCTTGGAATTTCGTTCCCAATAGACCTTGATGTTAAAATGAAAGCAGTGTTGCTTGGGGCTGGTTTCGTCCTTGACTTCATTTTCTTTGAAAATGGTGGACGGTGTACTGTTTGGTGTTAGAAGCGTCCCTGTATTATAAAACCTTTA